CTAAAGTCAGGAAGACTTATCTTCCTGAGTTCAAATCTGGCCTCAGATACTTACTAGCTGTGTGACCCTGGGCAAATCACTTAACCCAGTTTGCCTCAGTTCCTCATCTGTAAAATGAGCGGGAGAAAGAAATGGCAAACCACTCCAGGATCTCTGCCAAGAAAATCCCAAATGGGGTCACTAAGAGTCAGACACAACTGAACCTCCACCACTACCACAACAAAGATAAAAGCCAAGAAGATAGTAAATAAGATCCCCGCCCCATGTGAATACTAAAGTGATCAGGAAAACTTACTTATTTAATACTTCAATTGATAAATATTTAAGGGAAAGATGAAGCATTAACTTTGGATTGCATGAACAGATGTATTCCAAAAAGATTTGAAAGAGAATACTTCTGCAGTAAAGGAATTGGAAGTCTCTTTCATTTCAGTGACTTGAGATTTTAATAGGCCTATGTGAACTTTAAGAAATTAGGTATACTAGGAGTACCTAATAGATGTGAAATTACATGACATTGATTATGTAAGTAGTGGTTGAGAGACTTACAGATGTAGCATTGACTATAACTATAAAACTTCGTATCTGTAGCTTTATATCTTAGATTAAGTGAAAAACTATTGATTGATTTTCTTTCAAAAGTACAAATGAATCATCAAGAAAATAGTAAAACAGTTCACCAAGAGAATCTGAGTATTTGTTGCTCTTCTCTTCTATAGGAAAAGAACAGAAATACAGTAATGCATTTCTTTATGTCATATCAAACTATTGAAGAACCCTGAAACATTTAGCCTGAAAAAGTGAAGATTACAGAGAACATGATAGCTGTCTTCAAATATTTGAATGACTGTCATGTAGAGAAGGGATTAGACTAATTCTTCGTCACTACTAAAGACAAGATCTGGGGTTAGAAGTTATATGGAGTCAGATTTCCTTTCAGTGAAAGGAAGAATACTCATAGTTAAAGTTATATTCATAAATAGACTAGGCAACATTGTGAGAAAACAGATCACCATACCACATGTGCTCAAGCAAAAGATATTATAGAAGAGTGGGAGGTTGAACTTCATGACCCCCCAAGATCCTTACCAACTGTAATATTCTAGTATTCTAATGAACTTTTTTTATCTTTTGTGTCTCCTAGAGCCTTACCAAACTCAATGGTGAAATCAGACTCTAGATGTATTATTTCCTTTTGAGATTTTTTCCTTCTTCTTCTTGAGACTAGGTCTTCCTAATTAGTTCAGGCTGAAAGTTCAGCAGCCACTCATGGACCCCACTGCTGATTGGCAGGGAAGTTTTGACCTGTTCTTTTTCTGACCTAAGACAGTTCATCCCTCCTTAGACCGCCTTATCTCCTCCACACCCACTCCCCCTATTTCCAGGGACTTGCCATATTGATGTTGTTCATATACACACCCAATTGGCATTATCCCTTTTGTAGTTCAGAACTCCCAAACTCAAGTGATCTAGCAGCCTTAGCCACCCCAATAACAGAAACTAGAAACTACAGCCACTCTCAGCTAGGTATTGATTATCTTAATAAAGGAGTAAATACTATGTGTAGACTGAATGGAATATATATGATTAAAGGGCCAGTGAAAGCCTTTCTACCACCAGCCTACTTGTGTCTGAAATTCCTACAATTGGAGTCATTATTTGTGTTATGGCATTGAAGTCAAAATGCAAATATGTTACCTGGAAGTGGTAGGACATTAGTGGTAGAAAAAGGTGGAAGAAGTTAAGGAAAAGGGCTAGAGCACTGGGTACAAGAGAAGTGTCAGGCCTAGTTGGCTTCCAGTGTGGGGGCTCTCCAGAACCAACATAGAGACATTCTTGGAGGAGAAACTCAGATCAGAGAAACCACAGCAGGAGGTAGAGAAACACAAACATCATCCACTTTTCAATTTCCTCAAGTCTAGTATTTGCTACGAGGTTTCATTATAAAGAATGGCATACTGTTTTGGGAATTACTAAGAACTCAAAGCCACAAAAGAAAAATCTGGATTCAGAAGGAAAGGACACTGACATAGGTGAAATTCTAAGACACATAGTATATGTGAAACTCACATGATTATTATATCCATTCCACCTGCCATATAGTAGCTAGGTGAGTTTGGTCAGGTCACAATATCTGTAAGCCTGAAGTTTTTTCATCCATAAAATGGAAATAATATGTACCCTTTCATAGGGCTATTGTGCAGATTAAATGAGATAATATATTAGAAAGTAACTGGAATAATTGCCAAGAAGGATGTTTTTTTGAGGTAGCATTGCTGACATTACTTCCAACAGTAATTGCACTCAACACAGTAGTGATGTAGTTATATTTTGCCTAAATTAGGTGCTAGGAAAAAAATATAATCAAATCAGTAATGATATGAAATATCTAATTGAATATAGTCAGGCCTTATAAGTAAGTCATATTGAATATGTTTGCAGAAGAAATTCAGCATATTTCATTTTCATAACATTTACCAAAACAGAAGACACTTAACAATATGTATACTCTTATTAGTCCAAAGACATTCTTAAGTTTTTCTTAACTGTCTCTTAGTTGTCTTTCAATTCCAGAACAACTTAAAACAAGCTATTGAAAACTGATAAATAACAAACTAGTCATTTTTGCCTACAGATTAGTTGTAAGGACTTTTTTTTAACAGTACTGTACTATGAACATGCTTATGATAGTACATTATTAAGAGCTTTCACAAAATGTTTTACTTAGCATTAGGGTTAGAGCTTAGGTTAGTGGGTAGTGGAAAGTACGCTGGTCTTGGAGATATAGAATCATGTAATCTCAGAGTTGGAAGAAACCTCAGAGGCCATCTAGTTCAGCCTGTCCCTGACCAAGAATCCCCTCTACAAGATCTCTAAAAGGGTTTTCCAACTATTATATGAAGACTTCAAATGAAAGGGAATATCCTATTCCCTAGGACCACCCATTCCACTTCTGGACAACTATCGTTGTAAGGAACTGAACCCAGTGTTTCAGGCATGTTCTGACCAGAGAAGAATAGAGCAAAACTCTTACTTCCTTCACTCTGGATATCTGTCCTTCCCATAGCCTAGGATTTTGATATCATGGCATACATACTGAGTTTGGTTCCACTAAAATCTCTAGATCTTTTTGAAAGAATCATTGTCATCCCTTCTCATCTTCCTCATCCTCTGATGTAAAGTTTTTTTTTTATTTTATTTTAACCCAGCTATAGAAATCAGAAGACCTAGAAGTATAGAAACAGAAGGCATAGATTTAGTTCTGGTTATGTAACCCTTGGCAAGTCACTTAATTTTTCTACCTCTTTGTCTGTAAAATGGAATGAATATTACTTGTTACTGTTTATCTCACAGCATTGTTGTGAGGAAAACACTTTGTAAAGTGCTATTTGAAATGTGTTTTATTTTTAAGGGTGGCAGCTTACACATGAGAATGCTTAAAAAATATTTTTCTTTATAGCTGGTATGTGAATTTACCAAATCAGGTCACCTGAAAAGCTATGTTACTTAGTTTACATAAGGAACCAAAATATATTTAGTTTAGTCTGAATGAGCTATATGATTCTCCCAAAATTTCCTAGTTAATTTATTTTGAATTCATAAAAAATAATACTTTGCATGTGTGTGTGTGTGCATGTGTGTGTGTGTGTGTTGGGGGGGAGATTCTCTTATGCTATTCAAAATATTTAAAAATATTTGGTGTTTAGTATTTTGTGATTTGGTTGTTTTTCCCTTTGGAAAAAAATAATTCATTTAATTTCTTGGTCTCAAATTAGTGATAACAATTTTGCTTTATTGCCTTGTATATTTAATTTAAAAGATTGTTTTCTTGTCTTCGGTGATGTTGATTCATGGAAAATAGCTTTAGAGATAGGAATTTCACTTATATGTCTTTAGGCTCATTATCCCATTTCTACATGTGCCTTTAAACATCAATTGAGCAATAGATTTTTAAAAAAATTTCGTAACAGGAAGTCTAGCTTTCAAGTCAAAGATATGTTTATATTTATATTCCTCAAGGTTTATCATGTCTGCTTGGGTTGTATTTAGGCATTTGTTACTAGTCAACAATTTCTCCCATAGTTACCACATGCCAAGGGTACCTGAACCCAAGAGTGTGTGTTCATACCTAATAAACATCTTGAGGGTATCCTTCAAGCTCACTGCCCATTTTCTTCTTTGTGCATGCCTTTCTAGAACCATAAGAAACATAGCTTATCTATCATATGATGCCTTTCTGAGCCTAGAAAGATGAAAATAATGAAAGGAGCTCCAGTGTGCTTGCCTGGCAATGATGGCATGACTGGTGTGTTTAATAAAACCTTTATTGGTACATTTTCCGGTGTGGTGGTGTTGGCAGAAATGGTACCCCTTTGGATTTGGAACTCGGCAGCTGATGAAATACAGTAAACATTAATTTGGAATGGGCTGCCAGTTTTGGAAAGCCAGGTGACATTTTATTATATTTGTACTGAACAGGGGCTGTGCCGCATACTGTTGTAGCTTCCGCTGTCAGAGGCTTAGCTGGCATTATGGAAAAAAAAATGGCAGGCCTGAGAATCTTATCCCCTGAAATGAAAGTCGAATGCCAAATTGAAATTCCTACAGGATTTCCAATAGCAATGGGGGAATTGAGAAGCCCACAATTAAGCATATGGGCATTAAGATAATTGTCAGATCTGTTGGCGGACATGATAGAAGACAGATGGGTACGAATCAGTGCGCTCCACTGCAGCACCCTGGGAGACAATTTGACGTTTTACCTGCCTGAGCTACCCTGCCATATTTGTCACTAAATGTGCGGCACAGCATCTTACTGAGTGTTAAGTGTTTTTTGCACGATAGTATAGGTAGATGTGTGGGACTCTGGTGCCCTCTAGTGAAAAGCCATCGAGAGCAGTGTTAAATGCTGGTGTCTCCTTCCAACTGTCTCAGGAACTGGTTGCCTCGCCTTAATTTCCACTCCCGCTGAACTCTATGTCATTTCTTGACTTTTTCAGGTCGGTGCCCATCGGGAAGATGGTGTGGCTCTAAGAGGCAGCCATTCTCTTGTGCCAAACCAGGTTCCAGTCCCACAACTCCCGGTTCAGTCGGCTACTTCCCCTGACTTGAACCCTCCCCAAGATCCATACAGGGGTGAGTCCACCACAGAAGTGCTTTTCTTAACAGTGCTCTGATCTATATGCTTTACCTGTTCCCACATTACGTTAGATACTGACATTTGCATATTTGGTATTCATTGCTAGATTAAAAACTGGCACAGAACCAGAGTTCAAGTTCAGCGTAATAAAGTAAAATGAGAAAGCAGCCATTTAGAACTTGTTCTTCATAGGTTCTGTTTCTCCAAAAACTGTTTTTCCAAAAGTGTTTTGGGACTCTGGTTTCGAGTGGAGAATGAGACATCAGAGTGATGACAGTAAAGTTTATTTTTGTTATTGACATATTTTTTACTCAGTCCATAGTTAGTATTCAAATCACTTAATGGGGTTAGATGTAACATGAATATTACTTCAAAAAAGATGAAGAGGAAGGATTTTTTTTAATTGAAGGAAATTTAAAAAGAAAGAAAATTGGCCATATAAAGCAAAGATTGTCAAATTAGTTCTGTGATAGGGAGAAATCTAGCATGATTACATGCTTCCTCCAATAGACAAGAGGTTTCATAAACTATAGACAGATACCCATGATCATTTATTGTCTACAACTTATTTCAGGGCTGGAAATTTTTTTTCAGGAAGACATCTGGCTTATCCCTCTGCCTCTTAACTCATCACCAATGATTAATTTTACAAAAGGAAACAAACTTTTAGATCAAAATAGCTTCAATAATAATTGCTAGAGCCGAATTTTAAAAATTTGTTGTAAGCCCAGAAAAGTGAACCACGTCACATCCCAGATTTTCTTCAGAAGTGTTTGTCAAAACTGAACAAATTTGAGGATGTTGACAACCCAACTTTCTGGGCTCATAGGAGCATTTACAGTTCAACTCTAGCAATCATTTATTCTTTTTTTTTTTAAAGTGAGGTAATTGGGGTTAAGTGACTTGCCCAAGGTCACACAGCTAGTACGTGTCAAGTGTTTGGTCTGAGGCCGGATTTGAACTCAGGTCCTCCTGACTTCAGGGCCGGTGCTCTATCCACTGCACTACCTAGCTGCCCCTGCAATCATTTATTCTTGATGATAGAAGTTATTTCGATCCAATAGTTATTACCCAATTGTAGCCATGACTATCTATGATTAAAGTGAAAACGTGTAACTAACTGTCTAACATATATATATCCTTTAGTCACTAATTATTCTTTGAGTGAAAAAGAAACCTAATTCATTAATACGATTATGGTATCTTTTGAAGTCTTACTGACTGAATGTATTTATTTTATTCCATGGCAATAATATTTTAAGGATTTTTTCTATTAAATCATGCACATGGAAAAACTCAATATAATAGCTGATATTTACTTGGGTTCTTAATCAGAACACTGAGGTGTGTGATTTTCATGATTATGATTTTCATTGCAATTAAGTTGATGTTTTGTAGACAGTGAAATTACCATCTACTCCAAAAGATTGCAAAATAGAATTTAACCTCAGAGCCCATGCAAAGAAAACTCGTTTCAGCAGGTGCATTTTGGAAACTTCCCCAGATAGCATAAAAGAGTGACAGTCTGAGCACAAGGGTCAGTGTTCAGCCCTCCTTATTGTCTAGCTGGCAGCCCCACAATAAGTAACCCACACGTCCATGCATTTAGTCTTTGGTTTAAACATTGGCAATAGTAACACAGCCTTTTTTTCCCTCTAGGCATGCCAGCTGGATTGCAGGGGCAGAGTGTATCCTCAGGTAGCTCTGAGATCAAATCTGATGATGAGGGAGATGAAAACCTGCAAGACACAAAATCTTCTGAGGACAAGAAATTAGACGACGACAAGAAGGATATCAAATCAATTACTAGGTCAAGATCTAGGTAACAGTATATAATACTGTCGCTTCATTTAATTCCTTTATTGGACTTTGATGAAGTGAACAGAACAAGGAAGAAACTATTCAGTTTTTTCCTAGCAGGTAAATCCACAGCTGAACAGGTCTATTCTAGAAGTACTGATAGTATCATTTCAGATACTGGTACTCTAGTAATGCCTAAATTCCTCTTAAAATCATCAGTTTGGGCACCAAGCAAATTATGTACCGTAAAAAATAATTATTGATAGATTCAAAAATAAAACAGTGCACTTTTAAATCTATGCTTATTTGTAAATTTGATGCAAAATGTTATTCTTTTTAAAGTGTTTCTAAAAAAATCAAAATTGAAAAACAATATAAAATACTAGTCCAATATGTTGGTACACTGTACTCTTTTCTCTTACCCTTAAAATACATCTGGATACTTACTTTATCCCAGTTTTAATAGCCTTGATGCCTGTATTTTTAAATTGACAAATTGAGCCATAGTTCAGAATATCTAAATTGTTAACATTCTTCTTTTGCAGTGCCTATATAGATAGACAGTATGATGTGTATTGTATTCATCTCCTAATAATCGATGTTGTTTGTTTTATTTTTAATGCCCAACATAGTTACATCCCAATTTATCTTGAATTTTTACTTCCATCTGATAGTGGTGAGCTTCTGCTACTGCTACTCCCATTCTTAATCTTTTAGTTCCCTTTAATGTGTTTCATTTCCACAGGGAAACCTAATTAATATCTCACATTTATAGAGTACTTACAGGTTTACAAAGCACTTCCCTCGCAATGACCCTGCCAAGTGAGGTTAAGTGACTTGGTCATGATCATGCCCTTAGTAAGCATCAGAGTGTGGACCTGGCATTCTTCTGCCCCCAGGTCTAGGCTTCAGATCCACTGGTCCTTCAACTATACCATACTGCCTCTCTTTATTGACGTTTAAGCGAAACCATGACTATGTCTAGGAGTCTTTTAACAAACAAGGACAGACTTTGATGGGATCTTTATCTAAGATTTCATTAGACAAAGAACTTCAGTTCAGCCATGAAGTCAGCGTACCTGTGAGGTCTTTGGTCATTGCCATCCTGTGCTTGATGAAGTCAAGGCACCTAGAGAGAATAGCTTAGGTGCTATCTGCTTCTGGTTAGCTCATTTTGTTAGAGCACCCGACTAGTAAGATCAGCATCTTAGCTTTAATGGCCATGGATTTTCAGTTGTTATCTTCTAGGACTACAGACTGTATCCTGAATTCCAGTCCGACACTTCACGAGAAGGCAACCAATTTAGAAATCTTGGAAGGATTCATTCATACAAATCCATTACCAGGAAGGCAAAAACTTTTCAGATTGCATGCCAGACTTCCTGGGTTGGGAGAGTTACTTTAGTAACGTATAGTACATTCCATAAGTATTGGCCTTTAAGTTTGAAGATAACATAGTTGAGATTGTTTGTATTCATATGTGTGGATGGTTTATTTATCTGAATGAAAAAACCGACACATGAACAATGTACCTTCAAGACAACTCTTCTACACAATGAGTGTGTTGTTGTTTCGATAATTTAGTCCCTGTTAGCCTACCCTATTGTCAGTACCTAGAAGAGAGCAAGAACATTAACCAGTGGGCTGCTGCCATCATACTAAAGCTTATTAAGCTAATCCACATCAAAGGAATATGTGCCCATCCCCATAGCTGAAGAGGGAAAGATGCCCACACACACACTCACACACACAGGCAGCATAGGAGGGTGACCCTGATCTTGAGACAATTGTGCCAATGTTGATTCACTCGCACAGACAGTGATGCAAGACCAATATTTCCACCTGTTTTTCAACTTCATTGCAGTTGCCATAGTCTAAAAGACTTGGATAATATGGGCTAAATAGCCCAATTTAGGCCTATATTTACATTAACTTGGGAACTCCTGTGAAGATGGTAGAATGAAAGATATCCTAGGAGCAGCACCCACCCCCAGAGTAATAGAAGCAGAAAGCCCAAATGCTCATGCTTCTAGCCTTCCTCCCTTCTTCCACCTTCCAGGTGCGAGCTCATATCAGTTCTGTTGCATTTTAAGCACAAGTTATCAAAATTAAGGTCTGGACAATGAGGGGGGAGGAGACAGCTCAGATGGCTCAGCTGGATGAGCCCAAGACTCAAGAAGAAGGAAAGGAGGCAGCTAAGGAGGAATATGAATCTAGGAAACAAGAAAACAGAAGATACTGTAAAGGTAGCACTGGTTGCAACTACTTAAAATATAGCACAGAAGGATATATACAGGCCTCTTGAGAGAAAGGATCTCTTGGATCTTGTACCACCAGTCTCAACGGTCCTAGCACAGAAAGACTATAGAAAATTAGTTATAGAGAGAAGGTAGAACCCAGAAGAATATGATTAGCAAAGGTTAAGAATAGTCTGACAATTAATTGTCAGTCAATAGTTGTCTACTAGGCACTAGGAATACAAAAGTAAAAGAAGTTCTGGAACTCAAGGAACTTCATGTATATATATATATATATATATATATGTATATGTATATGTATATATATATACACACATACACACACACACATACATATGTAATAGTTTGAAGATGATTTGGGGGGAAGGAACCAACAGATTGGGGAATCAGAGACTAAGCCCCACTGCAGTGGCCACTTGGAAATTTCCTACAGCATTAGCCCTACTGATCACCTCACAGTCTGAGGGACACAATGGCAGTGTCTAGTCCTGGTGTTTCAGAGAACCAGCAGCCAGTACTGGGGAAGGGGCACAACAGTACTAGCCCTTAAGAAGATCAAGGATTAGGGGGTAGAAAGCATAATTTCAACAAGGAAATAATAGGAAAATCAACACAGTGAGAAATGTTTTAAAAATAGTGGAGAGTTGACTGAGGAAAAGAAATGTTCATTCAAGGAAAAATTGTTACATCAATGGACAGGAACTAAGTAACAAAGAGAACTGAGGCCGGATCCCCTGAGAAAGATGGTTAGCACAAGAAATTCTCCAAACCCTACTGAAACAACAACGAAGCAACTCTTGGAACTTCTAAGAGGGTTCAGAAGCAACATCAAATTAAGTGAAAATATCAGACATCAGAAGAGAAATACAGGTTCTTAAAAAAATCAGCAAGTCTAACCAGACACTAAAGAATTTAGAACAAAACACAGAAACAGAAATAGTAGATTCTCTTAAAAGAACAACAGAATTAGAATGCAAAAGTGCAAAGGCAGAAGGAAAAAAATAATGGAACATGCCTACATTAAGTGCATGTGACTTAGTATAGGAGGCAAACACTTGAATAGCACCCAGAGTTCTTCAGTACCCATCTTAGGCACTAGCAGTTTAATATTGCTCCTTCAAATTGAACTAAATTCCACTAATTGCTATTATTTAACTGAATGTCAGGAATGCACTGTTTTGTAGAGAATTTAGAATTAGTAATAACTACTAACTTGTATCATCATATTCTGAACTAATGAGCCTGTAGTTCATATTAATAGAACTGTCCTTAAAATCCATCAGAATACTGAAATTTGATTTGCTCAGCCAACAAGCTACAAGTCTGGGAAATTAAAATTCTAAACAGGAAAAAAAAGTAACAGTGTCAAATACATTCTGAAGATATTAAATAAAAGAGGATAGGTTTTTCTCCTAACAATCTGTTGCCCTAGATAAAATCTTTAGTTGAGATTTACTATTGAAAAATACTCAGAATTCTTTAACAGCAAAATGTTTAATAATGTAGCTATGAAAATATAACAGGGATAAATGTTACTGCCTCCTATTCTTCACCTTGCTTCTATATTTGATAAAGTTCTATGTTGACAGAAACACTGTACAAAGATTCTGATATTCTAGTCATAATTTAGCATGAATGTCCAATACGCTGTTTGAATAGCTGCCAAGGCCACCTGCCCAAGTACTAAAGTGAGGGTTGGCAATTATGTCGTAAATTAGGATTGTATACATTCCAAATATTTTAGACCAAAATATTCACTTGCAGCACACCCTAAGCACTCAATAAATGATCCCCTTATGTCTTTAGTTATCCAAATTGGCTATCTAATCCCCCACATAATTGCCAACTCTCCACTTCACTTTGGAATAGGGAGGTTTGGCAGAAGGTGTTCTGCTTGGGACAAAAAATTAAGATTCACTTACCCTGATCTTAGCAAGCATTTTCAGAGTATTTTGTAGGTTACCACTAAAATAAAAACCATTTATGTCTTCTCCACTCATTTTCCCAAATGCCACTGCTTCCTTACTATCCTCCTCTCTTTTATGGATAGGAAAGATGAGAGAAAAAAGTACAGTGACAATTTCAGTTTTTTCATTTCATTCTTTGTTGGTAAGAGGCACTAAAGAGATACTTCTATGTGACTAACACCTCTATGTTGCTGTTCAATGATCAGATCAATTCTTATTAATTTAGTTAGTAGCTGTTACATATACATATTAATGGGTCCTTTGAAGTTTCAGTAGACTATTTTAATTTGTTATTGAGAACCTTCTCATTTGAAAAGGTCACTCTTGTGACATTTAGTTATGCTTCCAAATCTGTATTATAAGCCAACAGTGTTTGAAAAAAAAATCTATGTAGTCTTATTTGCATAACCAATTTATTTATTTATACATTTATTTATAAGTGAATAATGAATTCAAATTACTTATTAGCCCATGAACCTTTGGAAAACAAGTTGTCATTTTCAAGTCTTCTTTGTGTTATATATAGCACAATGTTTAATGTACAAAATGATTACCCAAATGATTGCCTTTTTGACTTTACCTAGGGGAGACTTGCTTCTGTTGCTGTTCCACCTATTCCATTCTGTTCATTATTTCAAGTAGTGTTGACTTCTAAAGGACCTGAGTGCTTTATAACAGTATCCTGCTTACTGGTTTCAGAGGACATTGCAGGCTTGGCAGTGGGGGAGGGACTGGAAAGCAGAGAACTTATTTAAATGAATAAACAACAATTGAGAGGGAGAAAAGCACAAGGGGGTTCTTTCTGACCTGGCCCAGCTATATTTTATCCCTACTCATTACCAGAATAGCTTATCAAGGAAACATCGCCATGCCCCACTTGGCCTCCTAAGCTTAAAGTTGGAAAGAGCCTCTTTGTTCCAGCCTGGTCATCAGGAAGTACTTGTTGCAAAAAATTATTTACCTGCAATGAGACACTAATGACTCTTTTTCCCCTTTATATTTATTTACCCCTCACCTCACATCTCACCTGTCCACCCTGTGACTACCAAGGGAATCCTTTTAATACACCAAGTGTCTTAAGTTGCAGTTGATTCCATCACTTTCTCTACAAATTGATCCATGAAGAGGGGCGACCCCAAACCAGTATTGTTCCATCCCCTAAAAACCCCAAGTCCAGAAGCCTAAATCGTCTTCCTCGCCTTAATTCTTGGCTGTTGATTAGCAAAAGAAATTGATGTTTTTGAGTCGTTTTGGTTGTGTCTAACTCTTCAGGACCCCTTTTAGGGTTGTCTTGGCGAGGATATTGGAATGATTTGTCATTTCCTTCTCCAGCTCATTTTATAGATGAGGATACTGAGGCAAACAGGGTTAAGTGACTTGTGTAGAGTCACACAACTAGTAAGTGTCCGAGCCTGAATTTGAACTCTGGTCTTCCTGACTCCAGGCCCAGTGGTCTGTTCACTGACATCAATTAACTGTTGTTCTTTTAGGAAAGAAGGGCAGGAAGAGAGTTAAATGAAAGAGAAACAGGTCCATCTGGTAATTTCACATTGCAACAAGAAAAGCATCTTTACTTAGTGAAAATTTGGACCTGAAATCACAAAAATCTTAGAGGTGTAAAGGACTTTCAGACATAATCTAGATTCTAGTCCTTTGGATTCCTAACATCTCTCTAGTAGCCTCTGCTGATATTTGTTACAGGGAGCTCACTACCTATTGTGGCTACCCATTTCATTTTTGCTGTCCCTCAAAGTTGGGACAGCAAGGTGAAGTGCTGCCCTCAATTAAGGCAAAATTTACTTCCCTGTAACTTTAATGTTTGCCCTTTGGAACAGCCCAGAATGAGTCAATGTCCTCTTTTAGGTGAAAGTCTGCACATATTTGGAGATTCCTATCAGCTTCCCTACTACCCATTACCACGTGTTCTCTTCTCCATCCTGAACAGCTATGGATCCCCTCAACTTTTCTTCACTTAGAAGTTTCCCGACCCCTCACTAGCCTGCTCACTGTCTGGATAAACTTCAGTTTGTCACTATCCTTAAAGTGAAGTGCCCGGAACTGGGACCACCCTCGAGTTGCTTTCCCTACCTATTCTTAAAATAATTGATTTCTAGAACAAGGAAAAGCCATGGATGTCATCTAATTTGGCCTCCTGAGAGGGAGAAAACAAAGCTCAGAAAAGGTTGAGGATCTTACCTAAGATCCTACAGGTGGTAGTGGCAAAGTATGAACTAAACATCCAACTTTTTAGAACTCCTTTGCATTATTTAATTTAAAAAAACCCCAAATGCAGGAGCTTAAACTTATCCCTGTTTTGCCTTATCTTGTTTAAGTCTATTGAGATCTTTTTCAATCATTTGTTTTCTTTTCATTCTAAATGCCACACAGAATGGAACTTTTCAAAAACTTCTTATTTTAAAATGTACTTTGCTTACAGGGGTCATGCTCCCTATAGGGTAAGAGAAAACAGGCTGTGGTGCTGCTTTTTGAAATGTAATGTTTGTTGTTGAAATGTACAAATGTAGTTTCATTTTGGCTGTTATCCTGCACTCTTTCATTCTCCCAATGCAAACAATATGTGGCCCTGTTTCTGACTGGCTATTGTCTCCAGCTTGATTTGAGCATTAGATCTTTGGTAGAACCATTAGCTCTTTTCTCAGGTCAAGATACATGCTGGAGATTTAATGGGATGAAGAGCTATCTCACCACTTTGCAGGCAGTCTCAACAGCAAAGACATTTGCAAAATTCTGGCCTCAGATGGAGAATCTCAGTGAAAACTCCCCCAGGGTTGGGGGGAGGGAAGAATTAGGAAAATATTTAGAAAGCTTTCCCCCCCACACCATTAGAAAATGTTATGCATTTTTTTGTTTCACAGCAATAATGATGATGAAGACCTTACACCAGAGCAGAAGGCCGAGCGTGAAAAAGAAAGGAGGATGGCCAACAATGCCCGTGAGCGCCTGCGTGTGCGTGACATTAATGAGGCTTTCAAGGAGCTGGGCCGGATGGTACAACTCCATCTGAAGAGTGACAAGCCCCAGACAAAACTCCTGATCCTCCACCAGGCTGTGGCTGTCATTCTCAGCTTAGAGCAGCAAGTGCGAGGTCAGTTTTACACCACATTCTACCTTTATTTATCCCCAGTGTCATGACGTGAGTGTTTGGCTCTGAAGCTGATAGTTGTTGTTAGCAATGGCAAATATCAGGCAAGGTTCTTACGCTATAAAGCAAAGAAAATGCATAGTCTAAAATGATCATTCCAGCTTGAGGTCACGTTGAAAGTAAGGCAACTCTTTCTTTTGATTATATAGTATTTAGATTTTAAAACTCCATTTTGACATTTCCCAAGTGTATTATCTGAATCCAGAGTTTAGAATATCTGCCTTGCTCACTTTTCTGAATTACAAACTTGGTATTCCAAATTCAATATCCAATTCTGTCTGAATCATCTTCTCCTTTGCTTCCTAGTTAAATGCACGAACATTTAATATACCAGCAAAGTATGTTAATTACAAAGTGCTATTGTTAATACCATTAGTACAGTACTGTTGTGAAAACACCAAGTTGCATCACATTACTACCTTAACCCCAAAAGTAGCACCTGGGTTAACTAAACAATTGAGTCAAGATAAAGAGCAGATTCACCAGACTGAACCATTTGGCAATGCTCTTTACTTTAATGTTACACAGAAAGGAATCTGAATCCTAAAGCAGCATGCCTGAAAAGAAGGGAAGAAGAAAAAGTATCTTCAGAGCCTCCTCCACTTTCGTTGGCCGGACCTCACCCTGGAATGGGAGATGCATCAAATCATATGGGACAGATGTGAAATGGTAAGTTCTATTTGCAACCATTATAGATAACACTCTTAGACCCAAGTCATCAGACATTTTTTAAAAATAAGTTTTAATTGAGACCTCTCCCAGATTTTGATTTAGAAAATGATTCTGATATGCTCATTCAAAAAAAATGACTTATGCTAAAATCTGTTCGTTAATTTTCTTTTTTTTTTTTTTACTTCTTTCACAGGTCCAAGTTGCCACATTTCTTCATTAAAACAAGAGACCACTTCTTAACAGCTGTATTATCTTAAACCTACATAAACACTTCTCCTTAATCCCCTTTTTTGTAATATAAGACAAGTCTGAGTAGTTATGAATCACAGACGCAAGAGATTTCAGCATTCCCGATTATCAAAAAACAAAAAACAAAAAAAAAGTGCAACTTGAGGGACGACTCTCTTTAACATATCATTCAGAATGTTTAAAGCAGAATGTTGCGAGCTGTGGCACGCAGCCCAGAGACTGAATGGCAATCTTCTCCACACTGTGGAACAATGCATTTGTGCCTAAACTTCTTTTGGAAAAAAAAAAATATAATTAATTTGTAAGTCTGAAAAAATATTTAATTTAAAAATTGTAAACTTGCAATAATGAAAAAGTGTACTTCTGAAGAAAACTACATGAACGTTTTTGTTGGTGTTGTAGTCAGCTAGTGTTTCTACTTACTGGATATTGAAGGGGGAGCTTTGCTGCCCTAGTTACAAAACCAGCAAACGTCCTAATGAAAATGAAGTGATGACATTAGCCATTCCTTAGGGTAGGAGGAACAGATGGATCTTATAGACCTATGACAAATATATATATATAAATATATATATAAATATATATTAAAAATTTAGTGAATATGG